TGATGCCATTCAGACTTGGCGGTCCACAAGACTCACTTAAATTTTTTAATGTGTCCTCAAGATCAGACTCAACTGTTTAAAGATATTATGAATCATAAGTTAAGAAATCTTCTTCTTCTTCCTCCCCTTCTGCTTTAGCATCCAAATCAAAGGTGAATAGGACAACTGAGAGCATCTTCATCTTTTTCCTCCCCCTCTTCTTTAGTATCAATATCATTACCGTCGCAAACAAGAAAACTGAGAGTCAAAAAAAAGTGAGAGTCATTTTTGCAAGCCCCTCTGATAACATTATATTATAGATAATCAAACACATATATACATATATAACTTATAACCTTATAACTCGCAACATTTCAGAGATGTTTTCTGGATTCTAGAGGGTCTTTCTGGAGGCCGGCCACTTCACAATGGCGAGGCTTGCAGACTCTTTCTTTGTCAGTGAGGTGTAATTCTGAGAGCTATCTGAGAGCTTTTTTGTTCAGGGTTCCTCGCTCTCATTCTAGTTTGATCCGAGGTTTCGCACATTGTCCGAACGGAGGGATGATCAAATAGATCAAGCAAGAAAAACGCAACCCCCCCCAATGCATCCGAAACCACCACACCAATGGCTGTGGTTTGGACTGTCCGAAGCAAGCCACAACACATGACACACGCAGAAAGACCATCACCCAGGTCTGTGGCGGGTCGGGAGGCCAGCGAGGCGAGGCTGGTAGATGGTGCAGAGCATCGAAGGCATTTGGTTGGGCACAGAGATGTGGTCGATGTTGGTCATTTCCAACAGTTCTCTGCACAAGCTAGCGGCTAGACCTCTTCCCGGCCACTCCCTGCGACTTCTCGAGAGGCGCTTCGCACACCCCCTCCCGCGAGCCAACGTCGGGCGACGGAGGCAGTGGTGGGCAATCGGTGCAAGGGTTTTTGGAGGCTTTCTGGGCCTTTCTCAAAGCAAATGAAACCTGTACGTTATGGCCGAACTTCGGCATCAACCCCTATGATGCAAAACCCCAGTGCAGTGGAAAGAACACCGATGCCAATATCTGAACGGAGGGCTCCCATGGTCAACCGTTTCTCTGATGGTGTAGATTTCATCCTGTCGCCTTTCAGCGCTTCGGCGCCCCAGGTGGAACCTGGAAGCCCCTTGGCGCCGAAGCAAAAGCGCTTGAGGAAGGTGGGCCTCAAAGACGATTGAGGAAAACTTGAGGAAGGTGGAACTTCCTTCCTTCTTTCCAAGGTTTTGACTAATGTCTTCCGTTGATGTTCAGGGTTGATTTTCAGGGGCAAGGATTCGTAAGGTAGATGTGATATGGATGGAAATGGAACTGTTCATTGGCCGCGTGGCGCAGAGTGATTCTCCGAACCTTATCGAGTCTCCAAGGGAAGATTGCTCCGATCTACCAGAGGTCTCAGTACCCCACGCCAACCGGTTGTTGTTGTCGTCGGGTTTGCATCATTTCGCCAACAGCCGCTCCAGGCTGCGGCAGAAGCAATGTTCCTTGGCATCATGCAAGGAATGCGCTTACAGTAGCTAAGAAAAGGGAACACACACCAAAAAAGGAAAACAAAGAAAGAAGAAGTGGAACACAGAGGTCTGTGCACATGTCTCCCAGTCGGACTTTGTATGCCATTCTAAACTCAACTCAACAGGGTGTAGCTGGAGGCAAGAATGCTCAGGGAGATTAGGTTGTCATGGTACAATCTGAGCGCCAAGCTGACACCAGCGATTGGCAGGTCGCGCATTCTTGACCGCAGCCCACGCGGACAGTTCCAGAGTAGTGGAACTCGTGGAACTCCATCACGCATCATCACACCAATTCTCCATCACGTGACTCTACCAAGTTACAAATGACTCAGTGAGCGGAATCGCGTGAGCTCTCAGGACTGATGGCGGAGCAACTGAGGCGGATCAACTGGAGGCGGAGCCTGGGCACGGTTTAGGGTCAGAAAGGGTTTGGCTGCAATAAAGCAGTGGACCCTTGAATGTCCCTGGAAACATTGTGTAACATATGCATATATATACGACATGGATAAATGTCCTCATAGCTAAGCACAGACAGAACCAATCCGTTTTCACCGCAGCATCGGGCTCTTAAAGGAGTTCGATGGGAGAGAGGCGAGGAGCCTCTCTCCCAATTTGCGACCGCTGCTTGCATTTCGTTGTGCGCGAGAGCGGTCTTTCTACGTGTGAACCCTGTAGGAAACTTTGGCAGCTACAGGTGTCACTTCGTGGAGTCCTTGGGCCGAAGAGGGACGAGCAAGCTCTTGTCTTTCTGCAGGAGTGCTTCTCGCTCCTGGAAGAGTGGGTGGCCAAGGTCAAGGAGCTCGAGACCGCAGAGGCCACCGAAGAGCAGCGCCGTAGAGGAGGGCGAGAGCGCAGCCCTCTAAAGAGACGTGAAGAGCCCAAAGAATCTCGCCCAGGTCCAAGCCAAGAAAAACCAGCCCCATCAGTTCCACCCAAAGCACCACCAGTCGAGCCCCCTTCAAAGCCAGAGAGTACATTGCCTGTTGAAGGGAGGGAGATCAGCAAGGTAACCTCCCAAAGCCGCATTGTGCCTCGACCCAGCCATCAGCCGAGCAGTGCACATCGTCGGCGGTCGCCCAGCCTTTCTCTCCAGCCCAAGCGAAAGGCAGAGCCCAAGAAGGAAGTTGAGCCTCCGCCGGAAGCCTCAGTTGAACAGCCCCCAGGGGAGTTGAAGAGCACTCCCAAGACCAAAGAGAAAAAGAAGGAGAAGAAGTCAGAGACATCTACAAGCAGCTCATCGAGGAGGAGGAAAAAGAAGGAGAAGAGAAGGAGGGAAAAGGAAAAGCGTGACAAGAAGAGGCGGCGAAGATCCTCAAGCCCAGGGGATTCGGTTTCGGGGTCACGGGTCAGAGCAGCAAAGAGGAAAGACCTGAAGAGGCTGCCGACACCTCCACGCCCACGCAGCCCCCACACGCCGCCAGGGCCGCCGGCTGAGCCTCCGCCTGCACCAGCCCGAGATCCCAGTCCAGCTCCACTTCCCAGCATTCGCGGGCGCGGGTGGATTGGTCCGATTCCCTGGAGTTCGCACCCCCGCTGGTACACCGGCAAGAACAAGGGCATCACCCGAAGAGCGAAACAGGAGAAGTTTAACAACAGGTGGTGGTGAGCGCAAGAGGGAGGATGTCCGTTCGACGACGACCAGCGGCACGAGTTGAACCTCCGCGGAAAGGCCAGCTAGCAAGCCGAGTCCAGAGCTGGAGACATCCCTGTTCACCTACCTCCTGGAGCTGACCGCGGCACAGTTGCGGTGTTTGGGCCTGGTCGAACTGGCCTATGGATATTACTATGATGGGCTCGTGAAGGTGGCTGGCTACATCACGGGGTTGGGCCGTGATGCCGACTTCCTGGAGTTCAAGGTGACCGGAACCCAGACAGAGAAGCTTGTGGAAGTGTTGAGCGAGCCATCGAGGAGGACCATGCAGTTGCACATTTGCCCCAAAGATTGCAGCCACTCCGCAACCGGGCCTGATGTGTTGCATGCCGCCGGTTTTTGGGAAGTGGGTGAGAAGAAGCAACCCTGGCACACGCTCCTTGAGGATGTACGCGGTCAGCCAGAGGAGCACGATGAGATGGCAAAGCTGCGGGAGCACTATGAGGCCAGGAAGAAGGCGGTGGAAGGGGAGAAAGATTCTCCCAGTGAAGGGCCGGACAAAGCCAAAAAGAGCAGAAAGAAAAAGAAGAAGGCGAAGGACAAGGAGAAGAAGGTGGAGAAGACAAAGTCAGACAAAGAGGGCACAGAGGAGGAGCCGCTGTTTGAGCGGGGACAGAAGGCTTTGAAGAGCTTGTTCGGGGGGACTTGTTTGGACCCCCGGATGGAAGAGCGCTCGAAGTTGTTGAAGAAGGCTCGAAAGCTTGGGAAGTCGGATGGACGAAAGCGGAAGCGTTCATCGAGTGAGGACTCTTCACCCAGGAGCTCATCAACCGAGGAGGATGACATCGGTGAGACAGGTGAGGGGTTGTTCGCAGAGAAGAAGAAGGCCCTCCGTCTGACACAGCGCTACCCAGGGTGTCTTGGGGCTCAGACAATTGCTGGGATGAAGGAATCGCTGCTAACCAATAGCGGAACGCTGCATTCACAGGACCGAAAGTCTTTGCCTCCGCTCTACACTCAGTATTTCAGAAGCGAGCTGCATTCTATGGTCTCGCCGTCGATGGGGCAGGAGCTGCTGACTATCAGTCAGACGGCAGACTTGCTTTTGCGAGGACATCCTGCACGAGCGGTAAACCGGTGATCCCAGAGGTTCAAAGCACTGGAACAGCAGGCAAGAGGAGCTCATTGGACAGTCGCACGCCAGTTGGAACTGGTGTCGGCTGACGCGATGGGCCTCAGTCAAGGTGCAGAAGGCGCAGAAGCAGCTCGCCTTGCTCGAGAAGAGGCGAGAAATCGAAGTGCAGTGCAGCGCCCATACAATATGGGAGGAAAAGATGGGGGAAAGAGCAAAAGCCGACCTGAACCACCTGAGGGACGTGAGAAAGGCGATAGAGGAGGAAAAGGGAAAGGAAAAGGGAAGAAGAAGGACAAGCAATGATGTCGTGTCCACAAAAGAAGAAAGTCCCCAGGTGGAAAGAAGATCAGGTCAGCAGGCTTCCGAGAGAGGTTGAAGCTAGCAGTGCATTGGTTGATACAGAGCCTGAGATAGAAGGGGATGGTGGTTGCATTGAGAGGCTGATACAAGAGTGCGAGAGAAAGGGCTTGGAACAGAGGCGCAAGCGAGCGAAGAGCAGTGGTGATGAAAGGGACACTGGATGCATGTCGCGACCGGTGCCACCTAGTGATGCCTCCCTTTCAGCTGGTTCGGGCTTAGCGGCCGAGAGGGCCCCGCTGGAGTCGGTTGAAGGGGAGTTGATTTCTCCAGAGAGGCTGCTGGCAGACTCCCAGTGTCGATATCGAGTTGAAGGACATTGGAAGTCTTCTATGCCGGAGGAGCCTGCATGGGTTGAATGGGAGAGAGCGAATGAGAGCCTCTCCCAGGCTTGTGACGGTGACTCATGTCGAGAGAACTGCCACACAACGTACAGGAGCAGCACAGAGTCAACTTTGCGACTGGCCTTTGAACCGCGCCGCATTGCACTTGAGGAGTGTTGCAAGAAAAAAGACCTTGTTTTCGTAGGACTGGGTGAGGTGTTGTCCCGTGCATTGGCGGTGGTTGAGACTAGATTAGAGCGTTGCAGCCAGCCCAACTTCATGTTGCCTGCCCAGGATCAGCGGTTGGGCCGAACTGCGTCGATGATGGTGGAGGAGTGGCACTGGGCAGAGGTCTGCGCGGGGTTGTTGAAGCGGGGTGTTTGTCGCGTGATGCATGTTTCCGAACTTCATCATGTAGGCGAACGTCCTTTACTGAACGGAATGTTTGCAGTAAGCAAGAATGAAACTGGAGTGGACAGTCAAGGCAACTCTTTTGAGGTATGCAGGCTCATCATGAATCTTGTCCCTACCAATGGTTGCTGTAGAAGCTTGGTTGGAGATACGTCCACGCTGCCAAGCGTGGTGGGCATGTCTTCAGTGGTCTTGGAAGATAGCCAACTACTCATCACTTCCTCTGAAGAAATACGTTGCTTTTCTACCTGTTCCGTACCCCCTCCTCATGGTGGAAGTACATGGGCTTTGCACGGGAGGTGCCGGTTGAGGCTCTCCCAGAGGGGCACACGGGGGGTGGTTGGCACCTGGTGACTCAAGTACTGCCGATGGGGTTCATCAACTCGGTGGCAATTGCTCAGCATGTGCATCGCCGGGTGATAAACCGGGCTCTTCGAGGTGAGAAGGTGTTGGCCGCAAGGCAGCAGGAGCTCCGCAGGGATCGGGCTTTTCCTCAGCAGATCATCTTTTCCGGGTTTACCTGGACAACTATGATGAGTTGCGTAAGGTCGACAGAAGGCTGGCCGACACTTTGACGGGGAGCCCGTCAGCTTGGACCTTGGCCGTGAGGCAGACCTATGAGGACCTGGGGCTTCCTCGCCATCCAAAGAAGGCGGTAATGCAAGAGGTTGGATGGAGAAGCAGGCACGGCAGCGCCTAAAGGTGACAAGGTGGCAAAGTACATCAGACTTGCGTGTGAGTTGCTGATACGAGGTAGTGCATCTCAAAAGGAGTTACAGGTTGTGGGTGGAGGTTTTGTCTACATTGCTATGTTTCGGCGTCCCCTGCTAGCTGGGTTGAATGCATTGTGGAGACGGATCATTGAGCTTGAGGAAGGCTCCCGACGAAGGAGGGGAGCATTGGGAGAAGCAGTGGAGCTAGAGTTGATCCGGTTCATTGCCTTGACCCCGCTTGCCTTCATGGACTTCCGTACGGGCATCTCGGAGGAGGTCACAGCCAGCGATGCCTCAACCAGTGGAGGAGGCCTCTGTGTGAGCGCAAAGAGTTGTCACCCTACGGGCTAGCAGCAGCCCAGGCCCAATGCAGGGGAGATGTCCTCTCCCAAGATGATGTGGAGCCTATACTTGTGGTGTCCCTGTTTGATGGCATAGGAGCATTGCGCGTGGCTGTGGATGCCTTAAGGGTGCCAGTGGCAGGTTATATCTAGATCTCGGAGGAGGCCAGGCGTGTTGTGGAGAGCTGGTTCCCGGACGTCAAGCGCATCACGGACGTGGCGCTCATTGACGAGAATGAGGTCAGTAGCTGGAGCCTGTTATACCCTATAGTGTGTGCCGTCGTGCTGGGCGCTGGACCACCTTGTCAAGGTGTTTCAGGTTTAAACTCGGATCGCAGGGGCGCGCTGAAAGACGCTAGGTCATGTTTATTCAGTCATTTCCCCCGAGTCGAACAGTTGCTTCGGAGGTTCTTCCGCTGGTGTCCCGTCTTTCGCCTCTCCGAGAACGTGGCATCAATGGATGTTCAAGACTGCCGTGTGATGAATGAGGCCTATGAAGGGGCCCCTTGGTTGATCGACGCTG